TCGAAGGTCTTGCTTTCCATCTCGTCTTTGCTGACAGACGCGAACCCCAACGATCCGCTAGTGCCGGAGATTGCCCAAGTCTACCTCAAGGACCGAGCCAAGCATGATCAAACGGCGCGCGAGTGGGTCCAGAAGTACGCGACCTAGGCGTCAGAGTTCACGAATCAGCTGATGTGCAGAGTGGAGTTGGAGCATTCGTGGCCTTCTGCGTGGAGCAAAATCAGCTTTGCAAGAGGATGCAAGTGTAAATGCATGTGGCTAGGACCCCGACCCCTCCCATGAAACGCACCCCGACACCCATGTTCCGTCCACGTCTGTCCAACTCTTTTTCCGAAAGCTTCTGTCTCGATCAGCAACCTCCAGGTGTTGAAGCCATACTGTAGTTATTGGCGGTGCTTTCCACAAATCGTCTGTGCTTACACCTACGTTATGGAAACAACCTGTTTCACATACGTATCTGAGAACCTGCATACACATGTTTAAACTTTACTATACTTATATAAACAAGCACAGGGACACACGAACCAACACACATAGGTGCATGCATACATAACATGAATGCATGCTTGCATCTGGCATACCCACACCGCATTCCCCTGTGTGTGGGCAGTTTGGGTTTGGGGCAACATGGCAAGGTCGAAGCACAAAATCGGCGACTGTCATCCACCCACCCATCTGAAAAAGCGACGCCGTTCCATTTGCGCACTGACTGTCCCCAGTCAGCAGCGTCGTCGTCACGGTCGTCGTAATCGCAGTTGTCCATCTCTTGATGCACTGGCGGTATTGACAGCATCTGAAGACAACCCGAGCACGCGTTCGATTCGTCATTGCGTGCCATGACTCCTCGAGTGCTAGGGAGGCTAAGGGAGCCCAGCAGCGGCAATAGCAAGTGGCCGCACGCCATGGCGCTGAAGCGGATCCAGAAGGAGCTACAGGACCTTGGGAACGACCCGCCGGCGAATTGCTCGGCGGGGCCAGTTGGAGACGACCATTTCAACTGGCAGGCGACCATCATGGGCCCACCTGACTGTCCCTACGCTGGCGGCGTGTTCTTCCTGAGCATCAACTTCCCATCCGACTACCCGT